AATTAATTATACAGGAAGATGTGGAGGGCCATGATCACCTACACCCTTGTGCAAATTAATTGAAACAAAACGAATAATTCCGTTAATATTTACATTTTGTTGTATTTTTCCAAAGAAACATGACCCAGTGCATATGTTAGTACTCCGTATGTCCATTCCACGAAGTCTTTCCTTGCAGATTGACCACAGATTCTCGATTGGATTTAAATCAGGAGAGTTTTCGGGCAATTCTATAATACTTTGATTCACTCACTGGTAAGGCTTGTCAGTGTTCTCGTGCAGCGTTAAAATTTTCGTACACTTTCTTGGAATAGACAATGGCCGGAGGAAAACTAATCGACAGTCGAGACAATAATGTTTGAGCGTGATAAATATCTGATGCAATCACGGATAACTCAATATTTTTCAAGGCCAAACAAATTTCATCATACCCCCCGAAAATAGATTCATATTACTGCACACCACTGCAAATAAGCTAATCTGAGGAAAAATAGAAATCGATTACACCCTGTCACTCCAGTGGGTCTAAAACTTACCGCCTGGTGAAAGAAAGGAAACTAAAGCGGTTGTTTCAATTAATTTGCACCAGGGTGTATTTCCCAGTCAATGGAATTCCTGGATATTAGCGATATTTTTTTTTGTCCCGGACATCATATAAAATATACGTATATTTGTGTTACAAAAATACTACTACTACTACTACTACTACTAATAATAATAATAATAAATTAAAATCTTAAAAAATCGACCGATGTCGGATACTTTTTAAATGCACCGTTCAAAAAGTATCCGACTTCATTTTTCCCGCCAAAACTAATGTCGCGTGGACAAAAATCCTGCCACATCCACCATATTCTCCTGATTTAGCTCCTTCAGACTACTACATCTTTCTACATCGGTCGCTTTCTAAAAATTTGAGGGGTGCTTCGTTCAACAACGATGTGGAGCTTAAAACGTGGTTCGTTGAATTTTTCGTGTCAAAACCTAATGATTTCCATCGTTGAAGCATTGAACAGTTAGTCGGTCGTCAGCATGAGGTTGCAAAACAATGAAGAGGAATACATTGTTGAATCAGAACTATTAATAAATAATACGTATTAAAATAAATGATAAGAAAACGAACGAATATATGTAACAACATAATATATATTAATACAGTAATTGGAAATATGTGTAATAATATTATAGTGGAACACACCTATTCTATAGTTAATAGACTCTCCCACCTATAATAAGTAGGAGTAGTAAGAGTAACGAGACAGTCGGTGTCGGTCGACAGTTAGTCGAATACTAAAGTATCAGCGACCACAACTAGATTACTCTGCGTTATACCTATTATATCAAGTTCTTAACGTTTTGTACGTCGAACCTATTTTAGGACCGACTTAGTACAAATACAAGCCTCCACTGTGAAATCACTCCACAACAACTAACCACTATAGTATTTTAGTAGCGTCTACATTTAAAGTCTGTATACGGAGGAAAGGTTTCAGCAATTTTTGTTTTTTCGAATCGAATTCAGTAAAATTTTACGTAGACATTTTTGTACATTTTGGTATGTCTTGCGTGCTTCTAAAATTAAAGTCTACTGTTCATCCATGCATTGAATATTGCTGTCACATATGTCCTGGTGCTTCTGATAAGTACCTAGAGATTCTTGACAAAATCCAAAGAATCTGCAATGTTATCGGTCCTGAACTGGCATCTCGGCTCCAGGCACTTTCCCACCGTCTTAAATTTGCTTCCGCCGAGCCTTTGTTATAAACATTTTCATGTAAACTGTTCTAATGAACTTTAAGTTTTCTTTCTGTTTTTTAAATGTTGTTATTTTTATCCTAAGGCAAATTGTCCATACGGCAACTAGTTTGGACTGCATAGGTACTATGGTAGCTGTCATAAGAATAGTAAGACTGTTTTGCTTAGGTGAAAAGAATACTGGGTCAGTAATCGTGGTTAGCTAAGTTTAAGATAAGATAGATTGAAGGCCAGCCTACCCCCAGTGCTCCCTTTTGGCCTTGTGCCACACTTTTGTGTTTGAAAAATAAATATTATTTTCCTTTTTGGTAACTTGACGACTTTAAGCGCAGTACTAGATTGGCGGAAAGGTCTCATCATCTTACAGTTGAAATGGCTAGATGTTGCCGCAAGTTCTGTGCTAACAGTTTCTTCTCTCCTACTTCTCGCTTGTGGAACTTTCTTCCGGTTTCTTGCTTTCCAGTCAACTTTGATTTATATGCAATGTAATTTGCCATAGTTTTTGTAATCTTGTTCTTTTATTGTCCGCTCTCCTTAATAATGTTTTTTCCCTCACTCTCAGATTCTTTCACTCAAAGTAACCCCTTGCATTTTAGTGTGTTTAACGCTGTGCTTGGGGTGAAATGATTGAAATAAATAGACGAGACCAGGTATTTACATTTTGCGCTACCATTCTACAACAATTTCGAACCATCCTGGGTAAAACGATAAACTACATCCGCATCCTGGGTAAGACAATAAACTACATCCGCGTTCTGGGTAAGACAATAAACTACATCCGCGTTCTGGGTAAGACGATAAACTACATCCGCAACCTGGGTAAGACGATAAACTACATCCGCATCCTGAGTAAGACAATAAACTACATCCGCATCCTGGGTAAGACGATAAACTACATCCGCAACCTGGGTAAGACGATAAACTACATCCGCATCATGGGTAAGACAATAGACTACATCCGCGTCCTGGGTAAGATGATAAACTACATCCGCAACCTCGGTAAAACGATAAACTACATCCGCATTCTGGGTAAGACGATAAACTACATCCGACAGTAAGTTTTGAGGAGCGTGGAACCACCTCTTTTGAAGAACGTGTAACCACCTCTTAATTGCTGGTGTTTCCAGGTTCACCCTGATCCCGGGTGGTAGCACCTGTTAGGGTCCCAGCTGGGAGCAAATAGTTGACCCTCAAACTGGGGTGACTACACTATGAAAGTGTAAAAATAGGCTTTAATACCAGCAATACAATTTTGTAAAACCAGCAATGATTTTTTGAAGAAAAATTTATTACCAGCAATACATAAACAAAAAAAAATGGTAATACATTTTTGGAAAAAAATATTAGCAGTAATACATTTTTGAAAAAAAAAAAATTTACCAACTATAAAAATCTTGTCGACATTAAGTAACCCATTGAGGCTGATATGCCGTAAAACAAACCAAACCAAACCAAACCAAACCAAACCAAAACCAAAACCAAACAATTTCCAAGGGAGGTAACTACGTTGAAAACTAAATTGGGAATCCTGAAACGTCCATGTTTATTTTTGTATGCTTTGAGTATGTCTATTTTAAATTTGTTGTAATTAAAGAACAGGCATTACTTTTTTTTCTCATACGACCATCGTACCACGGTGGATAAGGAAGAAGAATGTTTTGAGGATTAGGTTTCGAATCCTGAGACGTTTGTGTTCATTTTAGTATGCTTTGCGTACTTCCAATATTAACTCTGTTTTAATTAAAGAAGAACGGGCGTTACCTTTTGAGCAACGCCCATACTCCGATTGATAAGGAAGCCGACTCTGGTGAATACTAGATTCGGAATCCTGGGTCTTTTTTTTTTTTTTGTTCATTTCGGTATGTTTGTGTGACTTTTCTGTTAAATCTTTTAGAATTAACGAAGATCAGAAATAACATTTTAGCCGAACGGCGTATGAGAATGGAGAAGGAAGGAGCTCGTCTTTAGAATTCTCAAACTTTTGTGTTTATTTTTGTCTGCTTTGCATGCGTTTTCTATTAAACCCATTTGGGTTAAAGAAAGGTCGTTACTTTTTTTTTTACCTATCCTCATACTATCATCATCATCATCATCATCTTGTTGTTGCTGCTGTTCTTCTTCTAAGTGCCTCATCTCTTCAGGACATAGACAACCATGGCTCTCCGCAACCTCCTATCTTATGTGTAATTATTAATATATACACATAGGAGGCATATATATACACGGTGGAGTAATGGATAGCGGCTCGGATTGAGGAATCGGAGAGCCGAGTTCGAAATCCAGTCGAATCCATTACATTCCCTTAGGTATGAATCCTCTTCTTCTCCCCCTATGGGTAAACAGACCGGGTTCTATAACCTTGGATGACAACTGGTCTACCGCAGAACAAAATGCTAAAATACTGTATCGATAGATGATCGCCTAAGCGTGTGTCACTCATGGTACTTAACTGACTGACGTGCTAATACCCTTGGGAAAGGTATGAATCTTAAATATAATCTTCTCCCCTGTAAGTAAATAGCAGGAGAAATCTGGTTTTATAGTCTTGAATGGCAACAGGTCTACCGGAGAAAGAAATGGCAACCTACTGCGGGAAAAAAATCTGCCTCGTCAGTCATGTATTGAAAGATACGTGAACGCCGAAGCGTGTGTCAAACATGGCACATAACTGACTGATATACACATATACCTATGAAGAAAAATATATAGAAAAACAAACAAAAATCTTAATATGCAATTATGCTGTATTAATGTTAATATAAAGTCAACGTCGGACGTTTCGGTCTATTTTAGACCATCATCAGGACATATTCAAAAAACATAATTAACATTAGAACATATAAAATTCAACATGAAAAAGACGATGGACATAACGTCTGACGTTGACTTTACATTAACATTAATACAGCATAATTGCATATTAAGATTTTTATTTTTTTTTCTGTATATTTTTCTTCATACTGTCGGATCTATATCCATATATTTGTTTACATATACCTATCTAAAACGGCTCAGGGTTTCGTGGTTTTCCCAGTCATCAGCTACTGAGAGTTACGAACGATTCAGTATGTCTTTTTTTAAAATTCTGGGTCACACGGGACGCTGCATTTTATGTAGATTCAAAGTTCAAAATTTAATATCATATTAGGGTATAAATTCAAAATATAGAGTTTTGATAGGAGGAGATCGAAAAATAAACCAAAAAAAAAAAAATAAAATGTAAACTTGGTTAAGATATGAGTCCGTTAAATTTGAAAAAAAAAAAAATGAATATTCAAACAGTCTAAAAGAGGCAACTTTACAATCAATATAATCGGGGAGAGAAATATAAAGAAGAGAGAAAGAAGAGGCAAAGCAGATAAATTTAAAGATAAAGAAGAGAGAAAGAAGAGGCAAAGCAAAAAGGTAGAATAATAAAAAAGAAAGGAAAAAAGAGAAGTAGATATAGAGATAAAAAAAAAAGAATACAATAAAAAAAAATAAAGAATAAAATAAAAAAAATAAAGAATAAAGAAAAAAACAAATAAATATAAAGCATATGGGAAAAGATAAAATCTCTTTATTTAGCTCATATCTATCGATCTCTCTCTATATATTACAGTGTAACCCGGATATAAGAGAGTTGTCGGGACCGGAGAAGAAGACTCTTATATCCGGGTTTCTCTTATATGCGGGTTTGGTCTATTTTGTTTAGGTAAGTATGGGAACACTTTGGGACCAGAGAAAATCTCTCTTATATCCGGGTTTCTCTTATATCCGGGTTACACTGTACTTACATTATTTACATTATTCGGCCTGTTATCCACATCTTCATTGCCATATTCACAACGTTTCGGCCGTTGTATCTTTCGGCATTCTTCAGGTGATTGGAATTTCGAACACCGGGGCAGATTGGTCTAGTTCCACGTGCTATGCCTCTTCTAGATGTCTCAGTTGTTTCCCTTTAACTCAACTTTTCAACTCTGTGGCCTGGTACTGGACTCGCAACTCTTTATGTTTAGTCATGTTTGGATCTAAGCAACGTTTTTATCCACTGGGCCAAATGTCATTGAGGGTATCTGTGTACGAACTTTTAACAGTGCTCATATTGCAATTTTTTTGTTATTATTATTGAGTTAATCATAATACCTTATCTCATATCATATATATATATATATATATATATATATATATATATATATATATATATATGTCATAGAAATTATTAGGAGGATTTGAGATAATTAAGTAATTCATGGAGTCTAGAAGAAACCTCAACAGAATGCAGAAAGCACTGGACGGCCGTTTCGTCCTATATTTAGGACTCATCAGCAGTGCGCATCCACTACCGAGAATTGAAACCCGGACAGTTACGTCATCAGATAAACGTCATACCAACTGTACCAACGGGCCTCGGTGACGAAGAAGTAGCGAATTAGACTCGACATAGCGCCGCTCAATCACATATTCCGTGGTGGAAATCAACAGAGTTTCCCTAACCCATAGGACTGTGCCCCTACGAGCCTACTCTCCCCAAGCCGCTCTAACCAGAGCATTAGAAGCCATTTCAAGCAATGATATACAAATGATAGAAATTCTTACGAGGATTCGAGATAATCATAATTATATATATATATATATATATAATTTCATCCCAAGCAAGGCAACAATGCGACTAGGATGTAAAAGGTTCCTGGGAGTGAAAGAGAGAAAGAAGATTTGGTGAGGAGAAAAGGACATTAAAAGGACCGGATTCAGAAAAGCATAAAATGACGATTGGCATTGCATTTAAATTTTTGAAGATTGTACAAGCATAAGTCAAAAATTATCCATATTTTCGCCATAACGCGTGGTATTAATTTAGTACTATTGTGGTCCCGTGATCGAAGTTTGAGCTTGATAGCGCCAGTTTTCTTGCTGCTGTTACAGTGTAAATATGGCCGCTCCGCTAGCAGTGTGCCCCAAGGAGGAACAAAGAGCAGTGATCCGATTTCTCTGGTCGGAAGGTGTGTCAGTGGCTGAAGTGCATATTTACCACAATAAGGCGACAGTGCTAATCGCCCATACATAGGCTGTAATGTAACTGAAGATCTTCAAAAAAAAAAAAAAAAAAAAAAAAAACCTATCAGAATACAAGGATCTTGAAGTGGAAATCTAACAAAATGTGGCACATGAGGATGTCAATAATGTAGTTGGAGCCCTCGGTTTGATTGGTAAAAGAATTGAAGGAATTCCTGGTAGACCATCCCTCAAAAAAGAAATTGTTCTCCCAAGTACAGCCCACACCTTACGGAGGGATTTCTCTATGTAAAATGTGTGTGAGCATGTTTTATTTTTATTTTTAGTTGTTTTATTTTTATTTTTGTTTTTATTTTTTTTTTCACAGACATTTTCAGTGGAAAATGTCACAATGTCATTTCTGACTTTAAGTCTCTGGTTTGGACCCGGAACGAAATGTATATGGAACAGAAATCAAAAGAAAATAATAATAATAACTAGCAGCATGGCCCGGCGTTGCCCGTGCTTGATTCAAAAATCGTACGACTCATACAGCAATCGCTCTCACTTGACTTAAAATATTTTTGCCCTTCCTTGCCTTTAAAGGAGTGCCCTCTGCCGTGCTGATGTTGCTACATGCCTTACTTCTTGCCTATCTCACACTGCGAATTTTTTCTAAGCTCTACACTAAACATTAAATCTGTTACGTAAAAAGAACTAAACAAAATGAACACAAAACGATCAGCTTTAAAAAAAGGACTCGTCACTGGAAAAACCGAATGAAAAAAGAATGTTAACAACAAATACTTTTTCACACCAAACCCAGTTCTGCGGAATCAGAATCAACGTTGAGTTTAAGCAAGTGAATGAAGCAATTGTAGTAAAGTGCCATGCAGATTTAAATTTTTCCCACTTGTGACGAATGCAGCTATTGATTTTTTTTTACATGCTAGTTAACATTCGTGTCAGTCAGCTGTTGGCTCTCACGCTGGCCAATAGAATCTTCCTGCCTATTCGTGGCAGCCAGCTATAGGCTCTCACTCTGGTCAGTACAAAATGGCCGCAAACTACATGAAAACTGCCGTAGAAGCATGAAAAAATCGATTATTTCCACTATCGATGGGAGTTGGGAAACGCAAAGTGGGTCTTGGCGTTCCCGCTAACTTGTGCATGTGCATGTAAAATTTGGTGCAAATCCGTCGAAAATTGCGGCCGTGCATTCGTTACACACACACACACACACACACACACACACACACACACACATCCTGTCTTTTATACATAGAGATAATAATAATAATAATAATAATAATAATAATATATTGGTCAGAATTGAAGATTATGCCGACCAAAATTACCACAGGATTGGATGAATGAAAAAAAAGATTGGGTCTGTAAGAAAATAAACAGTTGCTGGATGAGAGCTCTTTCAAGCCTGGAATTAGAAATCGAAAACTGAAAGAAAAATATCTCTCAAGAGACAAACAGTTAAGAACTGCGGGCGAAATCAAGTGTTAATGATTGCAAAAAATAAAAGAAAATAAAAACAAAACAAAACAAAAACAAAAAATATAGCAAATATGCAGTTGCATGAAGAATCGATATCAATAATGGATGTTCGCAATATACGGCAAATATCGCCTGACCAGAGACGTACATGAAATTTCAAATCATATAAGTGAAGATATCGCATTAACTCAGAGGAAGCATAAATGTATACATGAGTGGGTGGAAACGGCGATTCACTGAGAACTGTGCAAGCGAGATGCGTTTGATCATTTAGAATAGCGATTTTTTTTTCAGATCGTCACTTGAAAACATGAAGAATTTTTTAACTGTCAGAACTTAAACTTCTTAGACCTACATGTTTATTTATTTATTTTGCTAAATTTCATCAAATAGAAAAGTTGAGAGCCACTCAAGTTAGAGTGTTACAGTTGGAATTTTACTGACTGAATGAGGTGTGAGATTTCAGTCGAGAATAAGGTAATAGGAATTTGAGATCACGAGGATAACGAGGATAGATAACAACTGACCATTGAATTGAAGAGGTTAGGATTAAAGTGCTCTGGGAAGCACTCACGTCGGAGTCTGTTCCACAAAGTGAGAGTTTTTACCTAACTTATGAGGAAATAGGAAAGTTATCTTCTCTTAAACGAAATCTAGCAAAAGCAGTTATCTGAAAAATAAAAAAAAATCATTACTCTTAATTTCAAAATTTAAGAATATATTTTTTTAAAAATTTATGTTTAAATAAGAGAAATCAAAGTTAGGTCTTATATTATATTCAAGAGAAGGTGATAGGAAGTGGCAATTATGGGGACAGGGAGTATAGATAAGAGTTGTTCATTGGATTAAAAAGGTTAACATTCAGGTAAGCACCCACGCGGGTGTCTGTTCCACAAAGGGCCAGTTCTTTGGAAAAAAAACTGTTTGAGTGTGACGTCTCTCTTACATTTCGAACACGGGGAGATGAAGGTGATTTGACTTTGTGTATGTAGCACGCTGCGTTCGGAGCGGTAAAGGACTGGACTGAGGAAACTAGAGGATGGAGCTCAGATGGACATTTGCCATGGAAATAGCGAGAGAGATGCGACAGGCTTTCAACGTTGCAGTCAGTGGGAGAGGTTAATGGCTGGAAAATAAATCACCGCGCTCAAGACCGCGTAAATAATTTTGAAAGTCTGGAATGCGAGGATGGAGTTGCTTCCAGTTCAGACATGACAGCAGTATTCTATTTTTGATCCGGAAAGCAAACAACAAAAATTGAGGATCCCCAGACAAACACCCCACCAAAAAAAAAAAAAGAAAAAAAAAAAAGGTCATAGACTTGCATATTTGGAGGGTGTTATATTCCATACTAAGGAATAAACACATAACACGAGGTGGATACTAGAAGAAAAAGTTTATTGTACACAAACAAGTACAATATGAAATACGGAACAGTTATACACACAATCTAGTAGTTGCTAAAGCAAACAACAAAAAATTAGGTGAGGATCCCCAACTGAAACCTTTACCACAAAAAAAAAAAAAGAAAAAAAAAAACGTCATAGACTTGCATATTTGGAGGGTGTTATATTCCATACTAAGGGAATAAACACATAACACGAGGTGGATACTAGAAGAAAGGTTTATTGTACACAAACAAGTACAATATGAAATACGAACAGTTATACACACAATCTAGTAGTTCCTAAAGCAAACAACAAAAAATTAAGGATCGCCAGGCAAACACCCCCACCAAAAAAAAAAAAAGAAAAAAAAAGGTCATAGACTTGCATATTTGGAGGGTGTTATATTCCATACTAAGGAATAAACACATAACACGAGGTGGATACTAGAAGAAAGGTTTATTGTACACAAAAAAGTACAATATGAAATACAGAACAGTTATACACACAATCTAGTAGTTCCTAAAACAAACAACAAAAATTAAGGATCCCCAGGCAAACACCCCCACCAAAAAAAAAAAAAAAAGAAAAAAAAAAGGTCATAGACTTGCATATTTGGAGGGTGTTATATTCCATACTAAGGGGTTAAACACATAACACGAGGTGGATACTAGAAGAAAGGTTTATTGTACACAAACAAGTACAATATGAAATACGGAACAGTTATACACACAATCTAGTAGTTCCTAAAGCAAACAACAAAAATTAAGGATCGCCAAAAGAAACACCCCCACCAAAAAAAAAAAAAAAAAAAAAGGTCATAGACTTGAATATTTGGAGGGATTTATATTCCATACTAAGGAATAAACACATAACACGAGGTGGATACTAGAAGAAAGGTTTCTTGTACACAAACAAGTACAATATGAAATACGGAACAGTTATACACACAATCTAGTAGTTCCTAAAGCAAACAACAAAAATTAAGGATCCCCAGGCAAACACCCCCCACCAAAAAAAAAAATAAATAAAAAAACGGTCATAGACTTGCCATATTTGGAGGGTGTTATATTCCATTCTAAGGGAATAAACACATAACACGAGGTGGATACTAGAAGAAAGGTTTATTGTACACAAACAAGTACAATATGAAATACGGAACAGTTATACACACAATCTAGTAGTTGCTAAAGCAAACAACAAAAATTAAAAATCCCCAGGCAAACACCCCACCAAAAAAAAAAAAAAGAAAAAAAGGTCATAGACTTGCATATTTGGAGGGTGTTATATTCCATACTAAGGAATAAACACATAACACCAGGTGGATACTAGAAGAAAGGTTTATTGTACACAAACAAGTACAATATGAAATACGGAACAGTTATACACACAATCTAGTAGTTCCTAAAGCAAACAACAAAAATTAAGGATCCCCAGGCAAACACCCCACCAAAAAAAAAAAAAAAAAAAAAAAGGCAAAGACTAATATTTGGAGGTGTTATATTTACAGACTAAGGTGTAAACATATTTGAAAAGGGTGTTATATTCCATTCCAATCTAAGGAAAAACAAAAAAATTAAGGAACCCCAGGCAAACACCCCACAAAAAAAAAAAAAAAAAAAAAGGTCATAGACTTGTGGTTTATATTGGAAAGGGTTTATTTATTGCACACAAACAAGTACAATATGAAATACGGAACAGTTATACACACAATCTAGTAGTTGCTAAAGCAAACAACAAAAATTAAGGATCCCCAGGCAAACACGCCCACCAAAAAAAAAAAAGAAAAAAAGGTCATAGACTTGCATATTTGGAGGGTGTTATATTCCATACTAAAGGGAATAAACACATAACACGAGGTGGATAATAGAAGAAAGGTTTATTGTACACAAACAAGTACAATATGAAATACGGAACAGTTATACACAATCTAATTGCTAGTAGTTTAAACACATAACTGCAAAGCAAACAACAAAAAAATTAAGGATCCCAGGCAAACACGCCCACCAAAAAAAAAAAGAAAAAAAAAAAAAAAAGAAAAAAAAGGTCATAGACTTGCATATTTGGAGGGTGTTATATTCCATACTAAGGGAATAAACACATAACACGAGGTGGATACTAGAAGAAAGGTTTATTGTACACAAACAAGTACAATATGAAATACGGAACAGTTATACACACAATCTAGTAGTGAGTGCCACTAATTGGAAGGTCGGACGTGGTTGCGTCGTATTCGCTCTCACTTCCCTCTGTCCTCAAGTCTCTTGTAGACGGTTGAATTTATAGGTACTTACTACCTATAGTGTAACCGTTCATGGGGGTAACTGGTTATTCCATTACATCAGAGGGTTGCAAAAATAAACTTCAGAAATGACAGTTAAGGCTGTGCCGATTAGAAGAAAATTTCACCCTCCCCAAAAAGACGAAGGAAACAGCGGAAATATGTCCTTTTTTACAGGACAATGTCCGTCTATATTTCTGAGATGAGGTATTATGTACACTATTTACATTATTCGGACTATTGTCCTCATCTGGACAGCAAGAAACCGGAAAAGAGTTCTACCAGTAAGAAGTATAATAGAAGAAACTGTTAGCATAGAACTTACGGTTACATCAACCCATTTCGAGTGAATATAAGAAAAAAAATCTATTAATGACCAAAAACAATAAAAGAAGAGAATTTTAGAGGACAGAGGATAAAGATTGGTATTAACATTTACATTTTAAAGATCGAAGGATGACTGGAAAGCAAGAAGCCGGAAGAGAGTTCCATAAGCGAGAAGAGCGATAGAAGAATCTATTAGGATAGAACTTACGGTTACATCTAAATGATTTCGACTGCAAATTGAGACATTGTCGCCAATCTAGTATTGCGCTTAAATTTAAAAAAAAATAGTCTATGTGCTATCGGGGAGAGTTTATAAGAATAATTACCTTGAAAATACTTATAGAAAAGGCACAGGGAAGCTACATTACGGTAATAGGAAGGTAACTGAAGCCGAGAGGCCATATCAGGACCAATAACATTGCACATTCTTCTTTTTGGTTTTATCAGGGATCTCTAAAATATATAGCAGGAAAATCAGAATATATATGGCAGCAATATTAGAAGTCTGTACGTAGATTTATACATATGTAAGATAGATCCGGCAGAGAAAATTGTCTAGCACGATACAGTATAGCAACTTTTCTAGCAGCAGACCTAACAATTGATTCAATATAATACTTCCATTTTGTATCGTATTATTATTATTTCAAACGTTATTTTAGTGGATAACCCTGTTCGCGTAGACGCCCTGCCTTTTTTAAATGAAATGGTGTGAATTACGAGATTAACAGAGAACGTATGATCTCTGACAGGGTTCGAACCTGCGTCGTCCGTTGTAGGAAAATCCCCGTCTGATAAATCGAGTTGTCTGACAGAGCAATGAGAAAAGAAAAGAAAAAAGAGATAAAAAACAAAGAAAAGATAAGAAAAAGAAAGAAAAAGAAAGAAAGAAAGAAAGACAGAAAGAAAAGAAAGAAGAAAGAACAGAGCAGAAGGAAGGTCTGGACAAGAAAGAAAAAAAGAAAGAAAAGAAAATGAAAGAAAAGAAAAGAAAGAAAGAAAAGAACAGAACAGAACCGAAGGAAGGTCTGGACAAGAAAGAAAAGAAAAAAAGAAAGAAAAAAAAAGAAAAAAAAAAGAAAGAAAAAGAACAGAACATAAGGATGGTCTGGACAAGAAAGAAAAAAGAAAGAAAGAAAGAAAGAAAGAAAAAGAAAGAAAGACAGGACAGAACAGATGGATGGTCTGGACATGAAAGAAAAAAAAAGAAAAGAAAAAAAGAAAAAAAGAAAAAAAAAAGAAAGAAAGAAAGAACAGAACAGAACAGAAGGAAGCTCTGGACAAGAAAAAAGAAAAGAAGAAAGAAAAAGAAAGAAAGAAAGAAAGAACAGAACAGATGGAAGGTCTGGACAAGAAAGAAAGAAAGAAAAGAAAAAGAAAGAAGGAAAGAAAAAGAACAGAACAGAAAACGAAGGAAGGTCTGGACAAGAAAGAAAGAAAGAAAAGAAAGAAAAGAAAGACAGGACAGAACAGATGGAAGGTCTGGACATGAAAAGAAAGAAAAAAAAAAAAAAAAAGAAAGAAAAAAAAAAAAGAAAAAAAAAGAACAGAACAGAACAGAAGGAAGCTCTGGACAAAAAAAAAGAAAGAAAGAAAGAAAGAAAAAGAAAGAAAGAAAGAAAGAACAGAACAGAAGGAAGCTCTGGACAAGAAAGAAAAGAAAGAAAGAAAAGAAAGAAAGAAAGAAAGAAAGAACAGAACAGATGGAAGGTCTGGACAAGAAAAAGAAAGAAAAGAAATAAAGAAAAAGAAAGAAAGAAAAGAAAGAAAGAACAGAACAGATGGAAGGTCTGGACAAGAAAGAAAGAAAAGAAAGAAAGAAAGAAAGAAAGAAGGAAAGAAAGAACAGAACAGAAACGAAGGAAGGTCTGGACATGAAAAGAAAAAAGAAAGAAAGAAAAGAAAGAAGGAAAAGAAAGAAAGAAAGAATAACAGCTGACCTAGTAATGTATTCAATATAATCTTTCCTTCATTTCAGCGAGAACGTTAGCCCCAAAGCAAATGCAAAGAGTTATTTTCCTGGAGGTTAGCATCAGCTTTGAGAACAGGTGGCGTAGAACTTGGTCTCTTGGAGATGATTAATAGAAAGTAGTTTTGTCTTGGCAGGCGTTAAAATTAAAAAGCCGTTCCTTGCCCAGTTAACAGCAGATGCCAGATCACTTTTGAGATCAGCTGCCAATTTGGCCTCATCAAAACGATCAGATTTTCTGTTAAGACAAGAGTGTCCTTTTTTTTTTTTTTTTTTTAACCGACAATATATTCGCTCCTGGCGGATTGCCTTTAGAAAAATGGTGTTTGCGAGCAACGGTCTTCAACCTGACTATTCAGGTTTTTGTTGACTGACCTGTTCCTGTTTTCTAAACCATCGGAGGAGTTTGAAAAAAGAAACCTTTTTAGAATGATTTGCAACAGCAATACGGTTCATTACCTCTCCGCTAATACTTGAGTATTTCTTTTTTTTTTTTTTTTTTAGCCAGTCACGATGTTGTGCACTTTAATGACAACATTTACCTGGAATGTCTAATGAGACTCGAGCTAGCTCCAGACGTCAAGTGGAAATCTCTAAAGCTGCTGGAGAGAAATGGTCTCTTCTTGTAGCAGCCCAGAAAGAACCTGAGTCCTTCTGCCATACCCAGTCACCAAAAGAGCCAGATCAAACCAAAATTGGAGAATAGATGTCACATCTGGCCTGGGTGGCACAATCACCACTTTCTGTCTTGACAGTATTCCAAAGTGTTTGCGACGCCTTCTGGGTGATGAATAGCTTTACACCCTACAAAATTAACTTCACACAGACGAAACATCACTATAATCACGCTACTGCCATGGAGAGTAGTCCGTGGACTGCGTTTTCTTCGTTCCATCAGTCCAAATGTTCACTGTTAGCACCCACCATGCCACTTTACACTGAGATCGGCTCATTCTCATTCCTTTGTATTCCATTGTTAAAGAGGAAATTCAACTCAGACAGAACAGACTCCCAAGAGGATGGTTCCCTCGATTACTAACATCCTCTTTCTCTTCGTAATTCCATTGGTAAGGAGGAAGTTACACTTAGGCAGCTTGTTTCGAGAACCGCTACTTTTTAGAATAGAGTCCCAAGAGATTCTTCCTCTATTGCTATCGCCTCCATTCCCTTCGTATTCCATTGGTAAGGAGAAAAGTTCCACTTAGGCAAATTGTTTTATATAGAACTATATACTTTATAGAATAGAGTCCCAAGAGGATTTATTCCTATTGCTATCATCCCCATTCCCTTCTGTATTCCATTGGTAAGGAGGAAGTTCCACTTAGGCAGCTTGTTTCTGAGAACTGCTACTTTATAGAATAGAGTCCCAAGAGGATTCTTCCCCTATTGCTATCATCCCCATTCCCTAACGTATTCCATTGGTAAGGAGGAAGTTCCACTTTCTGCAGCTTGTTTCGAGAACTGCTATCATTATAGAATAGAGTCCCAAGAGGATTTTTCCTCATGATTGCTATCATCCCCATTCCTTCGTATTCCATTGGTAAGGAGGAAGTTCCACTTAAAACAGCTTAGTTTCGAGAACTGCTACTTTTTATAGAATAGAGTCCCCCAAGAGGATTCTTCCTCTATTGCCATCATCCTTTCCATACTCGTATTCCATTGGCAAGGAGGAAAAAAAAAAAAGTCACTTAGGCAGCTTGTTTCGAGAACTGCTACTTTATAGAATAGAGTCCCAAGAGGATTTTTCCTATTGTTATCATCCCCATTCCCTTCATATTCCATTGGTAAGGAGGAAGTTCCACTTAGGGCAGTTTGGTTCCGTGAACCGCTACTTTATAGAATAGAGTCCCAAGAGGATTCTTCTTCTTTTGCTATCATCCCCATTCCTTCGTATTCCATTGGTAAGGAAAAGTTCCAGTTAGGCAGCTTGTTTAAGAGAACTGCTACTTTATAGAATAGAGTCCCAAGAGATTCTCCCTCTATTGCTATCATCCCCATTCCCTTCGTATTCCATTGGTAAGGAGGAAGTTCCAGGTAGGCAGCTTGTTTTAAGAACTTAACTTTATAGAATAGAGTCCCAAGAGGATTCTTCCCCTATTGCTATCATCCCCCATTCCCTTCGTATTCCATTGGTAAGGAGGAAGTTCCACTTTAGCAGCTTGTTTTTCAGAGAACTGCTACTTTATAGAATAGAGTCCCAAGAGGATTCTTCCTCTATTGCTATCATCCCATTCCTTCGTATTCCATTGGTAAGGAGGAAGTTCCACTTAGTCAGCTTGTTTCCGAGAACCGCTACTTATAGAATAGAGTCCCAAGAGGATTCTTCCTCTATTGAATTCATCCCCATTCCCTTCGTATTCCATTGGTAAGGAGGAAGGTCCACTTAGGGCAGCTTGTTTCGAGAACTGCTACTTTATAGAATAGAGTCCCAAGAGGATTCTTCCTATATTGTTATCATCCCCATTCCTTCTGTATTCCATTGGTAAGGAGGAAGTTCCACTTAGGCAGCTTGTTTCGAGAACCGCTTCTTTTATAGAATAGAGTCCCAAGAGGATTCTTCCTCTATTGCTATCATCCCCATTCCCTTCATATTCATTGGTAAGGAGGAAGTTCCACTTAGGGCAGTTTGTTTCCGAAACCGCTACTTTATAGAATAGAGTCCAAGAGGATTCTTCCTCTATTGCTATCATCCCCATTCCTTCAGTATTCCATTGGTAAGGAGGAAGTTCCACTTTAGGCAGCTTGTTTCGAGAACCGCTACTTTTATAGAATAGAGTCCCAAGAGGATTCTTCCTCTATTGCTATCATCCCCATTCCTTTCGTATTCCATTGGTAAGGCGGAAGTTCCACTTAGGCAGCTTTTTTCCGAGACCCGCTACTTTATATAGAATAGATTCCAAGAGGATTCTTCCTTCATTGCTATCATCCCATTCCTTCGTATTCCATTGGTAAGAGGAAGTTCCAGTTAGGCAGCTTGTTTCTGAGAAACTGCTACTTTATAGAATAGGAGTCCCAAGAGGATTCTTTTCCCCTATTGCTATCATCCCATTCCTTCGTATTCCATTGGTAAGGAGGAAGTTCCACTTAGGCAGCTTGTTTCCGAGAACTGCTTTATAGAATAGAGTCCCAAGAGGATTCTTCCTCTATTGCTATCATCCCCATTCCCTTCGTATTCCATTGGTAAGGAGGAAGTTCCATTTAGTCAGCTTGTTTCCAGAACCGCTACTTTATAGAATAGAGTCCCAAGAGGATTCTTTCCTATTGCTATCATCCCCATTCCCTTCTGTATTCCATTGGTAAGGAGGAAGTTCCACTTAGGCAGCTTGTTTCCGAGAACTGCTACTTTATAGAATAGAGTCCCAAGAGGATTCTTTTTCCATTGATATCATCCCCATTCCCTTCGTATTCCATTGGCAAGGAGGAAGTTCCACTTAGGCAGCTTGGTTTCGAGAACTGCTACTTTATAGAATAGGAGTCCCAAGAGGATTCTTTTCCTCATTGCTATCATCCCCATTCCCTATATTCCATTGGTAAGGAGGAAAGTTCCACTTAGGCAGTTTGGGTTCCGTGAACCCCCTTACTTTATAGAATAGAGTCCCAAGAGGATTCTTCCTCTATTGCTATCATCCCCATTCCCTTCGTATTTCATTGGTAAGGAGGGAGTTCCACTTAGGCAGCTTGTTTCTGAGAACTGCTACTTTATAGAATAGAGTCCCAAGAGGATTCTTCCTATTGCTATCAATCCCCATTCCTTCATATTCCATTGGTAAGGGAGAGTTCCACTTAGGCAGTTTGTTTCCGTGAACTGCTACTTTATAGAATAGATTCCTCAAGAGGATTCTTCCTCTATTGCTATCATCCCCATTCCCTTCTGTATTCCATTGGTAAGGAGGAAGTTCCACTTTAGGCAGCTTGTTTCGAGAACTGCTACTTATAGAATAGAGTCCCAAGAGGATTCTTCCTCTATTCCCATCATCCCCATTCCCTTCGTATTCCATTGGCAAGGAGGAAGTTCCACTTAGGCAGCTTGTTTCGAGAACCGCTACTTTATAGAATAGAGTCCCAAGAGGATTCTTCCTCTATTGTTATCATCCCCATTCCCTTTATATTCCATTGGTAAGGAGGAAGTTCCACTTAGTGTTTGGTTCCGTGAACAGCTACTTTTATAGAATAGAGTCCCAAGAGGATTCTTCCTCTATTGCTATCATCCCCATTCCTTGTATTCCATTGGTAAGGAGGAAGTTCCACTTAGGCAGCTTGTTTCGAGAACTGCTACTTTATAGAATAGAGTCCCAAGAGGATTCTCCCTCTATTGCTATCATCCCATTCCTTCGTATTCCATTGGTAAGGAGGAAGTTCCAGTTAGGCAGCTGTTTCTGAGAACTGCTACTTTATAGAATAGAGTCCCAAGAGGATTCTTCCCTATTGCTGTCATCCCCCATTCCTTCCGTATTCCATTGGTAAGGAGGAAGTTCCATTTAGTCAGCTTGTTTCGAGAACTGCTACTTTATAGAATAGAGTCCCAAGAGGTTTCTTCCCTATTGCTATCATCCCCATCCCTTCTTGTATTCCATTGGTAAGGAGGAAGTTCCAATTTAGAATCCTTACCGTAACTCTTTCAAGTCAGGTTTCAAAGAGTTATCGACCCTATATATCGCTTGGTTCACACCTCCTCCCGTCTTTTGAACAGGAATAGAAGTTTATTCCTCATTTTCTTTAGGATCTGGTTTACGGTTTCCTCTTAAAAGTCTTCTATTTTTTTTTTTTCGGACAGCAATTTTTTTTTTTCGTCTTTAGTGACATTATTGCCTTGTCTGGGGTGAAATGATTAAAAAAAAAAATGCTTATGTGATGTACGGTGACCGCTAATAATTAAGTATAACTCAAGACTTCAATGTTAAGATAAAAAAAGTATTTAATACAATCACAAATAAATACTTAAGAAATAAATACAAGAACAAAAAGTAAAAA